TATATATATATATATATATACAATATAGTTAAATATGTATATATTTTTTTATTTTTTGTTTGGGATTTTATATATATATACGCTTTTGTATTTCTGGAGTTGGTAACAAAACTAGTTCCCCTCTGGGTTTTTAAAGTATTCCTGACTGATTAATATCTCTTCTCTGTTTTTTCCTCAGCCGATGGTTTTCGGGGCGATGATCCACAGAGACGAGGCGTTCGAGGCCATCTACTCTCAGTACGCAAAAGTCACGTCCACGGCCTCGGCCCTGCACCCGGAGACGTAGTCCGGGGGGTCAGGGGTCAGGGGTCAGGGGTCAGGGGTCAGGGCTTCCTCCAGGGGTCAGGGGTCAGGGGTCAAGGGTCAGGGGTCAGGGGTCAGACTCCAGCCTTAACTCAGAACCGTCCCACCACCCTCCACAAGTGGCTTATTTTTATTAAGGGGGAAATAGCTGAAAGGTCCCCAGTTAAAATCTCAGTACCCCCGAATTTATGAGTCACTTTGGATAAAAGTGTCTGCTAAATACATAAAAAACAAAAATAAAGTGGCTTATTTAAATATAAAAAAATTATTTTGATTAAGGGGGTTTAGCTGAGTGGTAGAGTGAGTGGTCCCCAGTTCAACTCTCAGTTTCCCACTAATCTCTAAGTCACTTTGGATAAAAGTTAAAAGTGTCTGCTAAATACATAAAAAACAAAATGGCTTATTTTGATTAAGGGGGAAATAGCTGAGTGTTCCCCAGTTCAACTCTCAGTATCCCCCGAATCTCTAAGTCACTTTGGATAAAAGTTAAAAGTGTCTGCTAAATGCATAAAAACATAAAAATAAAGTGGCTTTTTTTTTTATTTTTATGAATTATGTTTATTAGGTATTTTTTAACATTTATACAAAAACAGGAAAGGAAAGAACAAAACGAGGACAAAACTTATACAGCACTGATATAGAAAACAAGACAAAATCAGAATTGGAGGCATGAACATGAATTATAGCGTCACATGAGAAACATAACCACTTTATAAATACACGTCATTCAGATTCACATTATTGGTTTTTCATTTTTGAAATTTGAAATGTGGAAGTGTTCAAGAATACGTTCCAATCTTTTCTTAAAAGCATAAAATTTCCCATTCATACAATAAAGTGGCTTATTTTTATTAAGGGGGAAATAGCTGAGTGGTCCCCAGTTCAACTCTCAGTTTCCCCCGAATTTA